TCTGACCAACCCTCCTCCTCAGCACACAGCTTCTTCCCCAAAGCCTGCAAAGTAGCTAGCCCACAAGTGGCATGTACCTCGGCACAGGCCAGTTTTCTGAAGGTATCACCATCTCCACAGAAACATAGGCTTTTGCAAGGAGCCTGAGAAAATCTAACTAGTCTAATGGTACATATAATCTCCCTGTACTTCCCTAAGGATTTGCTAGAGTGCCACCTAGGAAATTATTAGCTAAACTGAGGGACATGGGGTACAGTATAAGAACTCAAAGCTGGACAAGAACTGGCTAAAAGAGGTAACAGATTGTCCTGAAAGGTGAACTACCATACTGGAGTGAGGTTACTAGTGGAATTCCTCAAGGATCTGTTTGGGGACCTATATTAAATATTTTCATTAGTGATCTTGGCACAAGAAGTAGTAGGCATGTACTAATGAAATTTGCTGATGACACGAAGTTGGGAGGCATTATCCAAACAGAGGAGGACTGGCATATCCTAGAGGAATAATTAGATGACCTTGACTAAAGTAATTGAAATGGAATGAAATGGAATAGTACAAAGTGCAAAATCATGCTCTCAGGGCCAAATAACAAAACTTTCTGTGATGAACTGAGAGGCTAAGCAGTCGTAAGTGACAGAAGGAGAAAAAGCCAGGTGAATTAGCTGATCACAGCCTGACTATGAAACACCATTTTGACATGGCTGTGAAAGAGGGAAATGTGATCTTAAGAAGTATCAGGTGAGATATTTCTAGCAGAGCTAGAGAAGTATTTATGCGATTGTACAAGTCACTGGGGAGACCTTCTCTGGAATGCTGTGTACAGTTCTAGTCAGCCATGTTTGAGAAAGGAGTTCAACCTGGAATAGATGCAGAAAAGGGCTGTTTTGATGATCAAGGAAAATGAGGGCATGTCTTATGAGAGGAGCTGGAAGCTTGTTTAGCTTAGCAAAAAGAAGGCTGAGAAGGAGCATAACTGCTTTCTACACATACCTCTGGGGCTTGGGGATAAACCCTAGAACACGTAAAAGGCAATGTTCCCTCTAATCTTTTACACGTGTGCGGATTTTTTCCAGCCATTTGCAGAATAAATTTTTCTACATGCACTGAGGCATGTGTGAATGTGCACCACTAGTAGAAACAAAATCCTAGCTGTGAGCGCTCAGTTAATCAGCTGGGCGGCATTTGAATCTCTTCTGAGCGGCCACACAAGCACACAGCTAACAGGGAACACTGGTGAACGGCTACTGAAATTAAAGGACAACATTGGCACAAGAACAAATTGTTTTAAACTTAAGATAAATTTTGATAAATGTATGAGTGGCTTATAAAATAAGGTTGCCTGTGATCACAAGGCACTGTATTTGACAATTAAGGTAGTCTCTTCCAGTTCTAATTTCCTACGCCCATCATTTCTTGCTAATTCTTCTCATAAATGTTCCACATGTACTCGCTCACTCACACAATGCTGCACATTCGGTACACAAGCAAAACAGTAATACACATGCTCCCTTGAATTCAGTAACTTTCTAATTAGATTGTAAGCTTTTCTTCTCCCTTTCTTCTTGTCACTGCATGGTGGCATCTAAACTATTTCAAATTTAACATACACTAGGTCCTAACAAACAAAATAACGCATGCAGCATCAGCAGATCTGGCCCATCTAATTTACATGGCTAAAAATCTTTTTAACAACATGGCTCATCTACAGTAGTTCAACAGGTGCAACAAGTACAGAATCTGGTGGTTATTCAGAAGTGAACAAGGGAGGTGAGGCAGTGGGGCCTGTGCCACTTTACCAAAGTCCCATTTCTACCATCTTCAGCCAACTAATGCACTGGGGGAATGCTAAACCTATACCCTGCTAAATACAGACAAGAGTTTAAAGTATCTTATGAAAACATGCCAGGCACACTCAGAATAGTCATATCTCCTGCTCATCAGAGATGGGGTGACGGTGGTGAAGGAAAGTCACTGTTTGTTTCTTTCCTAGTTGCAAAGCAGATGAGAAAAGTGTCTTGGGAGAATGTAAAATATTAGCAAAATACTAGTACATTTTCTTACTGCATTCCATCATCTTTCTTTCATGCTGAGCTGGTGTCATCTGTTTCTATAAGATAAATACATAAAAATACATCTGTTTAGAAGTGTTTATTTCCAGGCCATTATGCATTATTGCAATGTAAGAAGTTGATTTTTGAGAAAATAATGTAGCTACAGTCATGCTGTCACACTGATTTTTTTTTCTGTTATATAGTTAGTTAAACAGCACCTACAGAGATTGCACCAGCTTTTCATTCAATTCTGGGTGCTCTTCCAGGTTTTGGTTTTATGTTAAAAAGCCTTTTGTGGAGTGATCCAATGTATTTTACAGACAGCTTCTCTTCTGTCCTGCAGCAG